AAGAAGGCGTGTGTCCTTCTGGATGCGCTGTCCTCCTGGACAGAGAACGGTTACGGGTCAGCAGAGCTGCAAAGCCAAGAAGACTTCGTGCCAGAACCAGAATACCGCCTCTTGGGGCTCCTCAGGAAGCCACGGGTGAGCCGCCCGCGGCTAACTCGGACGAGACCACGGTGGCCGCGGACAGAGCCGGGCAGCAAGTCAAACCGGATCCGCCCGCTCGTGTAGACCACGCCCGGCTCGCCAAGGGCGGGGCCGTTCGGGATCACGTGCGGGGGCAGCACACACAATGACCTGGACCGTCCGCAGAAAGCGCGGGGAGAAGGGGGCCGGGGGGCCGGGCCTCGCGTGGATTCTGTTCTGAGTCATTGTATAAATCCTCACCATCATGACCACAAAGCACCAGTGGGATCGTCTGAGTCTGACCAGGTCCGGGTAGGAGCCACCGGCGCGGATTATCCCAGGGGCCGAAGGGACCGAGACCGTACGAGCAGAGACGCCCGCTGAAATGTTCACAGATAAAGCGGGACAATTTCGGGGTTCAGTTCAGCTACCCCGAGTGTGGGCAGGTAGCAGCTGAAACAAGATGAGCACCGAGCTGGGAATAGGTGCGGGGTGGTGAATTTTTCTCCTCCTCCCCATTTGTATTTATGCTTGAAGTTTTCCAAAATGAAAAATGAAAGAAGATGGGAGGCTGCACCCTGGTGGCCGTGGAGCCTGATGGGGACCTCAGCAGCAGCCCAAGCGTGGGCCCGACCTGCTTCCCCAAGGCGCAGAGCCCGCAGGATGGGCTGGTCGGCGAGGGACGCGGGGCCCAGCTCAGCGCTGGCATGTGGGGAGGCCTGGAACTCGGGGTCCTGGGGGCTCACGGCTGACTGCCCTGAGACACGGCCCTGCCTTAGCCCACTGGGGGCGGCAGACCTGACAGGTGTCCAGACACGCTGACTGGAGGTGGACCCTCGGGGCTCCCAGGGTAAGCAGCCTAGGTCAAGGGCACCTGCACCACCTCCCAATCCTGAAGAACAGCCTCCAGCCGCTGGCCGTTGCACCAAGCCGGCCTAGCAAAGGAAGCTTCCTTCTCACCCGGGACACACACGGGGGTGGCCGCTCCTGCTGGGCCATGGGCTCACCCCTGGCCATCCACCCACTTGGTGCACCCAAGCCGCTTGGCCTGGAACCAGGCGCGCCTCTCTGGCCTCGGCCCCCAGCAGCCCCCAGCCAAGATAATGACCGTTCATGCGCTGATCAGGGAGGAGAGTGAGAAAGTGGGTGGGAGTGTCCTCCTTCTCTGGAATCAGTCACCAGGGAGACGGCTATTTAAAGGCACAAAAGCAAAGCCTGGGTGACCCAGAGACCAACCCAGCAAGTTCACATTGTGCTTTGGCCCACTTCAGAGCATGTGATAAAGGGTCTATTAGATGCTGCTCCCAGCGGAGGCTGCCATGCCGGGTCTCTTTGTGCCTGTGAGTCTGAAGGAGACGGTGACAGCTGGGAGGGTGCCAGGCACCTGCAGGTCCCAGCCAGCTTCGGCCCTCGGCCTGGGCAGCGTCCAGAGCAGACCCCTCCACCAAGTGAGCTCCCTGGGGTAGGGAGAGGAAAGAGGCTGTGCCCTCAGCCCCGGCCCTCCCTGCTGCCCTGTCCAGCCCCTTCTAGCTGGGCACTGACCTCCCACTGCCCCTTCACAAATCCTCCCACTGCTGCATGCACGGTGTCCCTCTGGTTCTCTGACCAGTGCCTGTGCCCTCCCCCCACACCCTCCGCCTCCCTAGGGCTTGGTCTGTTTGGGCGTCAGCATCCCTCACCCCTCGAGAGCCACCGTGTAGCCCTCAGCCCGCACCCCACCCAGCCCAGCAGGGCCCCTTCTGTGAGGTGGGGTGGACACAGGTCAGCTGGGCAGGGTCCCTCATCTGACTGCTGGCTCTGTGGCCAAGCCCTTCCCATCAGGGTGCCCCAAGTTGGAGCTGCTTGTAAGGTCACTTAGGAAACTTCCACCTGAACACGGGCCCTGTGGAGCCGCGTCGAGAGGGGAGGACAGCAGCGCAGGGAGCCCTGGGTGCTGGAGCCACGAAGAGCTGAGAGCCGGCCCGGCTTCTGCCGAGGGGGGCTGACACCAAGCCCCCCTGACAGTGTTGGGAGCTCAGAGCCTGGAGCATGAGCACACCGGGGCCTCTCCAGCCCTGCCTGGGGGCGCAGGGTCACACTGAGCCGGAGCTCAGGGCCCTCGGGGCTGCTCCTCGCAAGGCTGAGACCCTCCTCCCTTCCTCCCTTCCCCCATGTGGACGCTCGGGCCCCTTCCAGCTGTCCGTGAACCATGCTGTTGGGAACATGGGGGTGCAAACATCTGTTCCAGTCCCTGCGTTCAGTTCTCCGGGGTGCGCGCCCAGGGGTGGGATCGCTGGACCATAGGGCACCTTGTGATATTTTAACGGCAGTTTAATTTTTTTTTTTTTAATCTCTTCTGTTCATTGGCCTATTCAAGATTGCAACTTGTATCATCAATTTGGATAATTTTCTACTTTGCTGGGCTTTGGGGTTTTGCTGATTTGGGCGGGTGTGTGTGTGTGTTTGGGGTGTGTGTGTGGGGGGCGGGTGTGTGTACGTGGTGTGTGTGTTTGGGCGGGTGTGTGTGTGTGTGTGGGCGGGTGTGTGTGGGGGGGTGGGTGCGTTTGGGCGGGTGTGTGTGTACGTGTGGGGGGGCGGGTGTGTGTGTGTGGGCGGGTGTGTTTGGGCGGGTGTGTGTGTATGCGTGTGGGGGAGTGGGTGTGTGTGTGTTTGGGCGGGTGTGTGTGTGTGTGTTTGGGTGTGTGGGGGGGCGTGTGTGTGTACGTGTGTGTCTGTACGTGCACACATGTGCTGATTTGGGCGGGTGGAGGGGGCAGGGGGGTGTGTGTTTGGGTGTGTGTGTGTGTGTATGTGTGTGTACGTGGTGTGTGTGTGTGCGGGTAGTGTGTGTGTGTGTGTTTGGGCGGGTGTGTGTGTGTGTGTTTGGGTGGGGGGGCGTGTGTGTGTACATGTGTGTGTGTGTGTGTGTCTGTACGTGCACACATGTGCATGCTCACGGGCTTCCCTGGGCTGGGACGAGGCTCTTCACGGCCAAGGGCCATTTGCGCCATTTGCGTGGCTATGAGGATGGACCCTTGTGGGAAAACCAGGGCTCGGGCTTGGGCGTGTGCGGGGCCCACAGGCTGCTCTGCCTGAGGGTGACCAGCGCCAGGCCACCAGCCGCCGGCTCCTGCAGACACTGCCGGACACCGTGCATTCTGGTGGCCACGGCTAGCCGGCCTTCAGCAATGCTTCTCCCCAGGGCTCCCCTAAGTGACTGGCATGGTCAGGCCACAATCAAGCACGTGATGCGAACAAGAGCACGTGCGCACGGTCTCTAAGATCCAGAGTCCAGATCTGGTGTCTGGACGTCTCAGAAGGGGCTGTGAGCCTGGTCCAGGAGCTGGAGGGGCAGGACACCCGAGCTCTCGGCCACAGCTGCTCGTCCCCGCGGCGTTTCTGCCAATACAGAGCGTGAAACCCCAGAAGGCTCCTCCTTTGTTAACGGGAGAGGCTGCAGCACCTCGCTGGGCCGCTGGGTGGTGGGTCACTTGCTTCCTCTGCAGTGTTGCCACGGCAATGGCTGGGTGTCCTCACAAACAGGGACCCCCAGGAAAGAAGCAAGGCCGTAAGCTGTAGGACTGCACTTCCTGCGCCGGCCCCCACCTTCCCACTCTTGCCTCATCTCCAGGGTCCATCTGAGGATCTGGTGGTCACAGGGGCATCAGGAGGTTCCTCAGAGTTGTTGGGGTCTGTGGCCAAGGCACACTGTACCCCCACTGTCTTAGCTCTTTCCCCATAAACTGGAGAGAAACAAGACATGCTGGTCCAAACACTTCTCCCCTCCACAAGTAACAGCTCAGCCAGCGCTCCTGCGAGAGCCAGACCTGGGACAAGGGAAAAGGGTCCCCAGGCCTCACAGCTGGATAAGAGCCCCCATCCCTGCCAGATTTCACAGCAAGCACCCTAACTCAGAACCCAGAGCCTCCTGACAGGTCTGGGCTGGGTAGGGGACAGAAGGTGGCCAGGCCCGTCTACCCACAAATGGACAGCAGTAGGCATTCCCAGAAGCCTCCGTGTGAGCTCCAGCCCAGCCCTTCCGCAAGTGAAGAAAGGAAGGGGGTGCCTCTCATACAGGGCATGCAGGGCAGTGGGGAGGAGGAGGCCTGGCCAGGGAAGGTCAGAACCGATTCAAGACTGGGCCATGAGGGCAGAGAGCGGCTGGAGTGCAGGACAAGGGCCAGGACATTCCTACTCAAACACCCAATCGTGCCCACTGTGCAAAAGCTAGTCACATCTCTGAAAAACGCACCCAAGTCAGGGAACTCTGGACTCACAAGGGGACACCCCACCTGCAGGAGACGGGCCTTTGCTTCCTGAAGGGCTGTGCCCTTCTATTGCCTCAACCTTTGCTTCCTGATGGTCCGGCAGCCTGACCAGGTGCCCCCTTGAGGAGGCTCTGCAGACCCCAGTCCCAAGTGAGACCTGGACTCTGTCCCACAGACAGCATCACCGGGAGACGGTATCTTCCAGCAAGGAGGACATTCAGGTTGGCAAAGCCAGATCCCCACCCACTGGCCACACCCGCCACAGCGCTGCCCCCGCCCAGGTTGGGCGCATCAGCCCCAGCCAGTGACCACCCAGGTCCTCGGACCACAGCGGCCACAGTGGCTGCGGGAATGCAGAGGGCAGCGGGGGTCGTAGGGGAACAGGGGTGAGGGGTGACAGACGTCACCATTTTCCAACAAACTGTAAAGTTTGAAAATACAATCTCCTATTCACAATAACAAAGACAGGTAACATGCACAACAGCTTAAAATGTAGTAACTATAAAACAACAGATAATAAACATAACAGGATGCAAAGGATTAATATGAAAATATAACATTTGAATAAAAAAGTATTAGATCCCTAGTTGGTAAGTTATCAACTTTCCCTTAATCTTTAAATGTAATTCCTACCCGCATTTCATGAGTTTATTCTGGTCTTGACAGCACTTATTTAGTAAGTTCAAATGGAAAAATAAATATGAGGACAGCCGGCATCCTGGAAGAGCGTGGGGTGCTGGAGGGCGGGAAGCGAGTACAGCTGGACCCGGCAGCCCAGGGGCGGTGGGCTTGCAGAATCAGCGTTAAATTCCAGGTGGGTAAAGGATCCTTCTCCAAAACCGCGCTTCCTCTGTTCTGGCTGTAAACGCAGTAGTTAGTGATACCGGTCGCACAAGCGCACTGAGAGCGGAGGCCGGTGGGAGGGGGCGGCTGGGGACGTGGAGGGGGCAGGGAGGGGACGGGGACAGGGAAGGGCGGCCAGGGACTGAGAGGGGGCGGCTGGGGACACGGAGGGGGCAGAGAGGGGGAGGGAAGGGGCGGCCGGGGACGTGGAGGGGGCAGGGAGGGGACGGGGACAGGGAAGGGCGGCCAGGGACTGAGAGGGGGCGGCTGGGGACACGGAGGGGGCAGAGAGGGGGAGGGAGGGGGGAGGGAAGGGGCGGCCGGGGACGTGGAGGGGGCAGGGAGGGGACGGGGACAGGGAAGGGCGGCCAGGGACTGAGAGGGGGCGGCTGGGGACACGGAGGGGGCAGAGAGGGGGAGGGAGGGGGGAGGGAAGGGGCGGCCGGGGACGCGGAGGGGGCAGGGAGGGGACGGGGACAGGGAAGGGCGGCCAGGGACTGAGAGGGGGCGGCTGGGGACACGGAGGGGGCAGAGAGGGGGAGGGAGGGGGGAGGGAAGGGGCGGCCGGGGACGCGGAGGGGGCAGCCGGGGACGAGGGGGGCTGGGGACAGGGAGGGGGGAGGGGGGCAGGAAAGGGGAGGCCGGGGACAGAGAGGGGGCAGGAAGGGGGCGGCCGGGCACGGTCGGGGGCGCACCCCGCAAGCTCCCCCCGGGGAAGGCGGTGTGTCCGCCCTCGCCTCTCACCGCGCCCGCAGCCGCAAAGAGCAGCTGGAGAAGCAGGGCCGCCCCTTGCCCGGGGGCCCAGGGCCCCGCAGGAGGAGCAGAGAAGGGCGCTCACCCAGCCGCCCCGCAGAGGGGCACGGACCCGAGGCCCCGGCCCCCGGGGTCGGCGTGACTGCTCAAGGCGCCGCAGACCCCCGACCTGGAGGCGCCGAGTCGGCGGGCGCCGAGTTCGCAGCCGCCATGGGCGCCGCCCTCCCCGCCGGCCGCGTCCTGGTCACATGCCCCACCAGGACCAATCAGAGCGCAGCACCCCGCGTGGTTGGTGCGGGGCAGGGGCACGTGGTCGCACCCAGCCAATCAGAGGGCAGCGTGCGGGTCCGAAGCCCGCCCCGGCTGGTGCGAGAGCCCCGGCGGAATCCCCGGGCAGCGCCCCCGCCCCAGCCCTTCCCCTCGCGGAGATGGGAGATGTTTGCTCACATCCGCCTGTCGCCCTCTGCGACTCGCTTGGATCAAGTGTTACTGGCGACCCGAGGCCCCAGGCACCAGCATACAGCTCCTGCCAAGGACTGTCACGCTCGTCACCGCGGAGGCGTCCACCTGCCCCACCCGCTCACCTCCTGTCCCACCCGCTTACCTGTCCCCACCCGCTCACCTGCCCCGACCCGCTCACCTGTCCCACCCGCTCACCTCCTGCCCCCACCCGCTCACCTCCTGTCCCACCCGCTCACCTGTCCCCACCCGCTCACCTGTCCCCACCCGCTCACCTCCTGTCCCCACCCGCTCACCTCCTGTCCCACCCGCTCACCTCCTGTCCCCACCCGCTCACCTGTCCCCACCCGCTCACCTCCTGTCCCCACCCGCTCACCTGTCCCACCCGCTCACCTGTCCCCACCTAGTGAAGCCGGCTGCTGGACTCAGGCGCCTTGGGAACAACACCTCCCACCCCCAGCCCGCAGCGCAGTCATGGGGAGCTGGGAGGGGCCTCCTGCACTGAGGGCCCCCCCCCCCCCCCGCAGGCTCCTGGCCTGGTCAGAAGACCCGGGGACAAGGCCCCTCCACCGGGGAGCCAGTGGGGACTGTGTTCTCAGCACTCAGACGGTGGGCTTCCACCACCAGCTTCCACTCCGCCTTGGAGAACAAAGCCATCCACCCTGGGACGGGTTTCTGAGGAATCCCAGCAGTTTCCGTTTTCTAAGACAAGGGAGTCTGGAGACGGAAGGAGGTAGAGGTTGCCCAGAAATGCCCCGAGCTGCACTCTTACGGATGATTACAACCGTATGTGTAATTTTATCACAATAAATAAAAAAAAAAAAACCTGGAAAAAAACAAAACCAATAAGCAGTCTTTGTACCCAAGGACCAGAAACAGCAGGCTTGTGAATGGGTGTCAGTGAGCTATTGTCCTGAAGGATGGAGCGGCCTCATGGTAAACAGCCATTGCTGGGAAGAGACCGGTCCTGTCAGACACACCAAACACTTTGCCTCCATTCATGAGGTGGGGGCATCGGTGAACTCGGGACGTTTACATCCACCTGACCCGGTCATCCTTATAAAGCCCAGCTCCACTGTGCTGCCGGGCATGGCCGAGCCTGTGCACACACACATCTCAAATAAGGCCACAAACAGGCATTTACGGGTTCGGCCACACAGGCTTGGAGCTGGCTTTCTGCGGTCATGGCGAGCTTCCAAATCCTCCTTCCTTCTCCTCGTGGGGCCACTGCCCTAGCCGCCGAGAGCAGCTAGAAGGAGCAGAGCCCAGGTCTGGACAGGCCCTGGGCTTCTCCACATTCCAGAAACCCATCCTGCACAGGGCGCCCGCAACTGCAGCCCAGAGACCCTGCAGGCCTAATTGGGCGGCCTCATTAGGGAGCCGTGACAAGGCAGCTTGCATCTGAGGATAAAATCTCAGCAGGACTCCACTGTCACCCCACCACTCTGCAGAGCTCCGTTTCCCGGCCCCGTGGCCAGCTGGCTTTTTAAAGCTAAGACCTGGTCTGAGGAGCCCGAGTCCTGGGGTTCTGCGGACACTGCGGCAGGGGGTGTATGCTGTCCCGTAGTGCAGGAGGAGCATGAGGGGGATGATGAGGACGGGAGGACGCAGGGGACAGTGACGGGGCTGCCCCAGGCCAGCCCCCAACACGGCTCCTCCTCCATGTCTCCGCATACAGGCCACTCCTCCCGAAACCTGTGCAGGGCTGGTGTCCTCCAAGGCCTGACCCTAACCCTAAGCCCCAACGTCTCCCCCTCGACCTTCCCCACGCCCTCTGTGACCCTAGCAGACAAAATTTACATTCCGTTGGGAGAAGCAGGGAGGGCAGAGGGCAGTCCAACCAGCAGATCTTAAAAATACTCTCCTTAACAAAAGCGTTTGAATGAGTTCCTGCGAAGGAGCTAATTAGCTCTGGTTTATAATTTCCCCAGGCCTGGGGGAACCCAAGGCACAGCGTCCAGACAGCTGTTGGAGAGGGGGGCGAAGGCCTCATCTGCCAAGACTCCTCTGCTCAAAAGACACTCTCCATTCCAAAGTGATCCATCTACAACAGACCCATCATGGCCGAGTCCCGAGAGCTAATTTTAACCTTCCGAGTGCTCGTTAAGCCTCTTTGAGTTATAATTACCCCCAATCTCGAGACATTACAAGGCAGCAATCAGGAAGTTAGATGTGGACAAGAGAGAACAAAAGGAGCAGGGAGACAGTTTCGAGCAGGCCTACTTAGAGGCCCGAGCGGCGTGGCTGCCCCGGGATGAGGATGCACACTCAGCTGCACGCTCACCCCTGCCACCTGCACCCCTGCGGGAGCAGCCTGGCCCAGGGGTCACGAGGGTCATGAGGGTCACGAGGGTCACAGAGGCTCCTGGACACTGATTATCTACTGGCACCCCCCCACCCCCGCAGGGGCTTCTAAGACACTTCCTTTGCGGCCTTGAGTGGGTTCCGGTCTCTAAGGAAAGCGGCTCCACCACAGGGCAGGCTTCAGTGTCTCGAGGGAGGGGGTGTCAGGGTCTTGGTCCCACAAAGCCCAGCAACTGCACCATCTGCACCCTCAGCTCCCACTGACAGACACAGGTGGAGCTGGCCTCCCCAGAGCCGGTGGGCCGCGGGAACGGTCCTGCCACGGCCTCCTTGCTGGCTCCTCCTTACCTTGCCGAAGCTGCCCTTTCCGATGGCCCGAAGGATCTGAAAGTGGTCGAAGTTCACTGCAGAAAAAACAGAGAGATGCCCGGTGAGGCGGCAGAAAGACCCAGTACCGTCCACCAGCCCCCAGCTGGAGCAACCACCCAGGGGCCGCCCCCCACCACTGCAGGGAGCCCCCCTGCACCCTGGAAGTGGGTCCTGGTACAGGCTGGAGGCTCAACTCAGGCTCGTGTGTAATGCGGGGACGGCCTGAGCCAAGGCAGAGAGGTGGGTCCTGGGGGCCATGCTCTCCCTCTTCTGGGCTCCTTGCAAGGCCAGGCTAGGCCATGCTGCCCACAGACTGCATACCGGATGGGGCGTGAACAGAGCAAATGGCACCCATAGCAGCCCTCTTCAGTCCCAGGTACCCAGACACCCCCATCCTGAGCTGCCCCCAATGCATGAAGCCCTACAAATAGGGGTCCTGGAGCATGGGAAACAGGCCCCCTGCCCTCCTGCTGAATCTCCTGTAGGGTTCACAGGATGAGCTACAGGGGAGCCTACTGCGGCCCCAGGATAAATAATAGGGACTTTCCAAAGGGAGGTCCCCAGGCCTGTGTGAAACCACCCGGATCCCGATTTCTATTAACTTCCTCCAGACATAAGCTCCCCTTAGAGAAAGGGGTCGTTGGAAATTGCAACTTTACTGTCACGGCACTCAAGAAAGATGTTCCCCGCCACGCACACAGGCCATGCACACAGGCCACGCACACACGCCATGCACACATGCCATGCACACGCAGTGCCCAGCGGGGGGGGGACGTGATAAACTGTGAGTGAGAGCAGTTCGGACGTGCTCTCCAGGACTCTGCTTCACTCTGATCCTGATGTGTAAGGTCCACTCCACTGGTTTCCTTCCCGCGGGCATCTCAGTGCCCCAGGCAGCTCGGGCCAGCCTTGCTTTCCACACCTGCCAGCCAGGGTGCAGCTCCCCCAGCTGACTCTCAGGCCACCAGCTGGTCCCACCTGTGCCCCATGTCTGCATCCCCCCAGGTCCCCATCCACAGGTCTGTTCCCCCCAGGATTCTGTCCCCAGGTCTGTGCCCCCCAGGTCTGTGCCTCCCCAGGTCTCTATCCCCAGGTCTGTGCCCCCCAGGTCTGTGTCCCCCCAGGTCTCTGTCCCCAGGTCTGTGCCCCCCAGGTCTGTGCCCCCCTAAGTCTCCATCCCCAGGTCTGTGCCCCCCAGGTCTGTGCCCCCCCAGGTCTCTGTCCCCAGGTCTGCCCCCACCAAGCTTGCACCCCCCCCCAGTTCAGAACCCTCCCCAGACGGCAGGGCTGCGACATGGCCCATGGCTCTCGTTCTGCCCCTTCAGGCTTTGCAGCACCTGGCGAGTCTGGCTCCAAATACCCTCGGGCGTGTGCCCTGGGCACCTGTGAGAGGCATGGGGCCCCCAGACGCCCGCGAGCCTGCAGTCAGTGCAGCCTGGGCTGTTCCCACGGGGAGGGGCAGACGAGGGCCGCAGCACGCCCACCCGAGAACGGCACGGGGAGCCTGCCGAGGGCACCTGTGTGCGCGGCCCAGCATGTGGCGCTGGGAAGTGCCGCCCAGCGAGCCCGGGAGTGGAAGGCCGTGCGTTAGGGTTGGGCGTGCTCCCCAGAGACGCCAGCCCAGTGCCGGGCTGGCCGCGCAGGGGCACCCCCAGGGCTGAGAGTTAGCAGGGGGCTTAGCCAAGGCAATCACCGAGTTCAGAGGAAGACACGTGTCCCGAACTTCAGGGCTCTCCCAGAGAGGAAGAGGATGAGAACAGATGGTGTGGTAAACAGTAGGTCAGAAGCAGAGGAAATCCACACCATGCCTCTCACTCCGCTTTCACACACTGGAAAGTGAGGTTATCACGGAGAATCCGGGGAAAGAGGCACTTGGAGTTCGGCCGGGCACGGACATGGGAGGAGCTGTGGCCTGGGTCCACGCTGGCTGGCCCTGTGGCCTCTCCTGGGCCTGCTTCCAGGGAAGGGAAGGGAGGGCGTGTACCCTACTGCACAGCACCTGTGATTTTGAGCAGAGTCATCCCCACTTCCTGAGACCCCGGGGCGGGAGGGGGCACACAACGGATTCCCAGACGGCGGACAGGACACTGAGTCGGCCACCTGGAAGCTTCACAGGGCAGACACAGG